GACTCATTTTTTTGATTTGTCTAAGTTTCAGTGTCAGAGGTTGTTCTTACAGTCTGGCAGCCGAAAGCCTGGCTTACACTTTTGACAGACTCTTGCTATTTGTCTCATTAGCAGACAGTCCTTACTGAACAGCATGGATGTGCAGATTTCCCCTCATACACCTATGAAAATAGAGCAAAGTTCTTTGAAGTCTAAGACATTTGCATTCTCCATGTGCATTTGTATAGTAACTATGCACTTTTTTATGTGCAATTGAAAATGCTCACATTTGGCTATTGAAGATGGACACCCTGAAACATGGTTTAGATGGCAAGTCTGAAATGTATCAGAAAATGCAAAAGCATTATGTATTACTCCTAGCACAGTAGTTATAGTTCTGGCAAATTGTAACAAAACCATATCACTCCAGCCAATCATATATTCTGTGCAGGAATTCAACCATGATTGTAAGGTGCATCTCTCAGGACTAGTACACTAGCAAGCTAAATTTGCCTGAAATTCAAATACATAGCACATCAGGTTGTTTCTCCCAGCTGAGTTTAACAGCCACACAGAGGAGCACCCATGCCCCCATGTTTCATTTGCAACTCAGCTCAAGAGTCTAACAGGCAGAATGCTGATGTATGCACCAGACAGTGAAATGTAAAAATGTAAATGTAAATATTCTGTAAGTTAGCTTTGCAGCTGACTTTTCAATTTCTTTTATGAAGCTATCCTGAGCTAGTCTCTCCTGCTATTGCATGGAGATTTTCTTTTCTAATGCCTTCTATAAGCTTCTAGTCATATAGTACAACTCTTAACAAAACAAAAGCAAACCCAAAAAATCTTCTACTAAAGTTTAATGTTATAAACAAGGTCACTAATACTAGCTACAACTGCTGTCTCTCTTTTAAAGATGGTGGTAAAAAACAAGTAATTGCCTTAAAGAAATCAATTATCTGAAAAAAAGACTCTTCTAACTAAGACATAAATATACTAAGAAGCATCTCAGAGTCTGAATTAAGCAGACAAGGAAGATTCATAAGTCTCATTAAGAGAAACATCAAAGAAATAAACACCAGACAGCCATAAAAGACAAACTGTTAATTGTCTTTCCCAGTGTAGGCCACTTACTGTTATTCTTGTTTTATAACTGCTCTAGTTAATGGATAAATCAATTATCTAATTGCTGGCACAGTGAAAGATCCTTACAAGTTTCATCTGCCCAGATTTGTTTGCTGAAGTGACGCTAAACTCACTTGAATGAGCTGGCAGCCTCATCATCAAAAAAATTCAAGGCAACAAATCAGAATACTGCTGTTTGGGATGCAAATATATATTTAGGTTGCTATTTCTCTACTTAAGTGTTGATTGTTTTCATTTTTGAGGTATGCTGACAGCGTCAAGAATCAGACTGGGGATGTTAATCATCACCAAAATGCCGCCAAGTTCACTGCTGCCTCCTTCCCTGAATGTCAATGACAAATGCTTAAAATCACACTGACTAACACGTGCAACAGAAATAAGCAAAAGATGCCAGCTGGGTTCACAGAGCATAGTCCACATAGTCCACATAGTCCACCTCATCCTTTTAAGGACCATAACTTGGGTGGGAAACAAGCAGTAAAACAGAAGACGTACAGCTAAGTAGCTCCGACTACCATCTCCATCGCTGCTTTCCTTGGGGATGTTTCTCACTAGCCTGCAAGTGGATTAAATCCTAGAAGCACAATATGAAAAGTAAAACAGAAGAATGTTTGAAATCCAACACTCCTGGATTTCAAGAGAGAGTCACCTGACTACTTGATAATACTCTACTTCCTACACCATGCCAAGTTTTTAACTGTGTCTGTAAATATTTCAAAGTTTGGGATATGGTTTTAGTTCCTTAATAATACATGAGGATTTCTTGATATAGATATTTGCAGCTGTGTTAAATTGTGGCATTGTCAGCCTAATAACAAGACTCAGAAGGCTCAGTTCTGTTTTCAGACAGCATTTTTTGTTATCTAAGGTTTCATACAGCTAGCTGCTGAAGTAATGACTCACAACCATCCCTTTTAAAACAGAAGGAAAAAACCAAAGGCAAAGCTAGCAGTAAGTACAGGTTAATTTTATACAACCTGCTGACCCACAAGGCCATACAAGTGAGTAGATGTTGTCCCATTTGTCCTTAGCCAAGCATAAAGCCTGAGCATGAAGGTCTCCCCCTACACACCATTTCCAGAAGTCAAACTCCAAAATGAGAGCTGGACACTAATCTCTCAGAAGAGGCTGGAGACCAAAACCAGGCACATTTCACCTGTGCTGTATCTGAGGGGACAGCAGCAAGCATCCCTAAACAGCCCAGACACATGCTCTAAAAGGGGAGGGAGGAGGAGAAAGGAAGCCCTTGCATGAGGCTGTGCCTGAGAAACAGCCACTGTGAGCTGGACATCCCTCAACTCCTCTCCCAAACCACTCATTCCAGGTTCCCACAGCATCACAGACATTTACAGGAATAGGAAAGTCACCCCTGGCCCTGAGACATGCTGGAGATTTCAAGATACTCCAGTAAAAAATGTTAGTTTTAACAAGAAGCAAGTTCAAGAGACTCTGATACAGGTTTTATAGAAAATATTAATACAGCATGGTTTTAAAACTAAAAAGCCCTTTAAAAGACTTAGACTGAAAAATAAAAGGTGCTAAAACATTCTGTTTGAAAGCAAGAGTAAAAAGGAGAATAACATTTTCTGCTAAAACGAAATCTTGTCGCTTTCTCTTCCTTTCATCTGTTCCTTATTACCCTACTTGTTGTTCTATTAGACATATCATAGTCACACAGATGTAGTACTAATCACAGGGTAGGAGCTGCCAGCTGCCTGGGAGGATAAAGCTACTCTGACATTATCCCAACAGGCACCCAACAGTGACTTAGGAAATACAGCCTTTTAGCTGACCCCTTTGTAAAGAAACAGGTGCCATCTGAGCATGCTGGGAAATCCTTTCTGATGCAGTCAGCTCCCCCTCAACAGTTCACAATTTAAAGTGAAAAAAAAATAGCAACACCTATCATTTTGCATACTGAGGCAAAAATTGGTGAGGCTTCCCTTGAGAGTGTTGCTTGCTAAAGATATTTATGGCTTAGCATGTTACCCTAGTAAAAAAAAAAAATCTGTATTAAATAAATTAAATTTAAAAAATAAAGATGATTGGGGGGCTTCAATTGCACTTTTATGTTTCAGACTTGACTTTAGTCTAAGATCTACACTTGAAGATACTTCTGCCACAAAGCTTGTGCACAGGTAAAGAATCATCAAAATTCTTCCCTTGAAAACATTCCAAATTTTGAAGTAAGCCTGAGGGGTAAACCTTTGACAGCTTTTGAAAACTTGAGACTGATACCTGACTTTTTTTCCACAGGAAAGCACACAGGAGAGAAAAATATGAATCAAGACAGGACGGAGAGAATTGGGACACATAGCAGTAAGCAAATACACCAATGATGCCAGAAATTTCTTCTGGTCCCACATAGTAAAAGGGTTATTAGCCATGCCCTACTGCATGTCCAGTGCCCATCCTAGAGCTGTAAGACCTGAAAGAGATCCTGGGGAAGCTGCCCTACCTCAATCTCTCATCCCTTCTGAGCCTTGGGGCACAAGAAACCTGTCTCACCACACTGGGCACAAAAGGGGATCTGCACCGTCACCCCTGTTGGGAGGGAAGGGTTAAAAGTGGAAGAGCGGTGAGGAGGATGGTAGATTTGCTCAAGTGACTATGCAGTAGGAATGTTGAGGTTTGAAAAATATTAGTGCGGGAAACCCCATATATTATGCCTCCTGCTGTTTATCCTAGGTCAGTTTTGTGAAGTAGAATCTCTGTGTAGAGATAACATAGGTGTTTACAGAAACTTGGAGGCACTGTCACAGACATGCTTGAACTCCTTGTTTTGGGAGAGAGATCAAAGCTCAGAGATCATAAAAAGCACAAGGGAGATCACAGCGTGCTGGTAAACTACATGTGCATGGGCCCTTGATAAATGGGTGCAAACAGCAGGCCCACAGCCCACCGGGATGGACTGAGCCTAGTGGTGCTGCATTCCCTCTTGTGTGTCCAGGTGTTGCTGCAGGATCCTCCAGTTAGAGAGGTCATGAATTTACCCTTTGCATTTCAGTCGTGGTTTTGTGGCTGTTCCGGTTGCCTGCCTGTGTCCATTCACACACCCCAGCTGCGGATGCCAAACCTGCCGTGGCACTGCAGGGGACGTGTTTGACTTTGGCTGAATACCACAGCTCCACAATAACATGCCAACCCCACTGCCCTGCTCTCCATTCCTCGTGCTTGGCTCAGAGAATATGTCTCCTTCCTCCTCTACCGTCGTCATCCCACACTCCTCCTCTCACTGTCCACCACTTCCATTCCAAGCTGGAGCAAAGTGTGGCTGCTCCAGCTGCATCTGGCAACAGGTGCCAGGAGGACCGTAAATCTTCATGCCACCAGAAATGAAGATTCCACCTCATTCAAATGAGCCTGCGCATCATGGTGAATTTTACGTCCATTAGCAAGAGTTGCAGCTTCAGGTCGTATCTCAAGGATTCTACCCATGGTTTCTTATGTCTCGGTCACTCACCCAACAGACCCCTGTAATGTCAGGGACATTGCATGCATGAACAGCTCTCCCAAAGGCATGCTAGAAATTCAAAGAATGAAGTTTAAACTTCCTCCTGTGATTCTCATTTCATGGGCTCAGCAACACCACAAGCCTCCTTTACACCCTTAAATATTAACACAGGTATTCTCCTGATGTGGGATTCCTCATTATCATATGAATAAATGATTAATTGTCACCATACCAAGCAAGTGCAACTTTTATAACTATATGAATCAGCACTGTGCCAAACCCTTCAAGAACAGCAAGAGTGTTCAAGCATTTATTGCACTTTATTGCTTCCTTGATCTTTTAAAAGGACTCTCTGACAACCAACCATTTACACAGTCTTGAAAGTTTACTGTCGATGTACTGAGCAGTTCTGTATTTCAAAATGCAGGCATACCTTCTTTCACAACAATTTAGTGGTAGCTCTTTGGCAGAAAACTCCACAACTTGTCCAGAAAATGCTACTATTTGTGATGGCACATCTTGTGTATTACCAGAAGATAATTTTAATCAGACTTTGAGCGTAGTTTTAAGTACTGTTCTAACAATTATGCTGGCTTTGGTGATGTTCTCCATGGGCTGCAATGTGGATCTTAAGAATTTCTTGGGCCACATAAAAAGACCCTGGGGTATTTTTGTGGGTTTCCTTTGCCAGTTTGGAATTATGCCTCTCACAGCCTTCTTGCTGTCTTTGGCCTTTAACATCCTTCCTATTCAAGCTGTCGTGGTGCTGATCATGGGATGCTGTCCAGGAGGCACAGCCTCCAATGTCATCGCCTACTGGGTGGATGGAGACATGGACCTAAGGTAAGAGCAGTCATTCTTTAAGTACTTCATGTGGCTCCTTACATTGTAAAGTCTGTATTGCAAAGAACTGTCTCACCTGTCTGAATTTTTTCTTAGCTTCCTGGTACATGCATTGTGAAGATTCTTCTTGTAAAGATGCTTAGTTACTGTAATAGCAGTAACAACAAATATCCTTGGGAATATTTGTTCATTGGGAATTCATGCAGAACATATCACAACAGAACTGTGTACATTAGAAAATGTCTTTATAGTAAAACTTCAAATCCTGCAGCAAATAGCGTTTATGAAGACAGCTAAGAGACTAAAGATACTTTTGCCCAAGTAGGAACTACTTATTTTTCTCCCAAGTTAAAAAAAAAAAAATCAAATAAATAATAACATAGGATTTAGGATAAGAATCCTCTGTACAAAATAGTGTCTATGCAATTGTTCTTAGAAAAAGAGCCCCTGTGGAGAAATATTTTCCCTCCTTTTGTGTTCTCTACAATGAAAAGGCAGGTACTGATTTTCTCTTTGGGAAATAATACAAGTGAATATAACTTGAGATAATTGTATCTGCTCCTTGAACTTATACAAAATCTTCAAACTGATGGAATATTTTACAGTCTAGAAGCCACTACTTACGGCAATCTTGCATACTGGGGGCAGTGAAAAAACTCCTTTGTGGCAAAGTGTGGTGATCTCAATGACAGTGTGCTCTGAACTTGGAAGCAGATATGTAAGGCACCTAACCTGGCCTAGGACACCAAACACACAGGAGAATTAAGCCCTACTCTTGAAGTAAATTCCGTGGGGGGTTCATTAACTCTGAGAGCCTTTAAAAATGAGCCATCTTTTTATTTTTATATCCTGATTACTTTTCTCTAAAATAAACACAATAATTTCTCTCTTTCCCACAGAGTACCATAAATTGGAGCATTCATCCAATTTATCATATGCCAGTCTGAACAAGAAATGGAAAAAATAATAGAAGTAAGAAAGATGTGGAGCTAGAGCAAATAGGCTAAGAATGTTAATATTTGTAGTTTTAATACGACATTTTTTCCATCCTTTGAAAATAGTGAACTTTTCTGTCACATACAGATGTTAATGTAATACCAGCTTTCAAATTATGTATGAGGTCAGCTCTGCTAATCATCGACTTCCTCACTGTAGAGGAAAGACCTATGATATTAAGAATCTGTACAACACTTAATTTCAATTAATACAGGTCTAATAAACCACAGATGGGAAGATATCCAGTAGAAGTCTGAAATTCTGTTCTAATCTCTCCTCAGCTGAATGCACTGAGCTAAACTACGCTTTCTCAGCTCAGTATTGTTCAGAGTTGCACCACTGAAATCTCTGGTTAAAATTCAAATTGACAATGCTATAAATATAAATAGGGTTTCTATCCCAGATGCTGGCAGAAGTAATTTGAAAATGCCTTTAAAAAGTTATTCTTCAGGTAAAGAGCTTTATCTTAAGAAGTCAAAGACTTCTGGTCAGTACCTTCGGTAACAGTTTCAGGACCAGACGGTATTAGAGGTACAGCAGATTGTCAACACAAGCATCTTCTTTTCTTTGTAGAATAGCACTAGAAGGAGTGTGGCTGGTTTCTGGAACCACCACAGTATTACAGAAATCCTGCCCATCACATCAGACAAGGTTTTGGTTTTAACTGGTAATATTTTATTTATACATTAAATTCCATGACCATTGTCTACAGTCCTGCTTCAAAACATCACTGTGCATATAGACCAGAAGTTAGAGCAGGAATTAGTTTTATAATTAGAATTACAATTACAGTGAGGTGAAGTATGATGTTCATACCTTTCTTCATAAGTCAGATCCAGCTGATATCCTCTAATGCTTCCCATAGAAACATCTTTTGATAATTCACAACAACTGCTTCTGTGAGTACATAGACAGGGTTGGAGGATGTCCAGACTTTGGAGAAGGATGTACATTCAGGGACAGTATAAAGATGCAGGAAATACAGAGGTAGGAAAAATAAGATTTGTTGTCCATTTGGGGCTTCATCAGACCTGAACTGTAGCCCGTGACTCTTTTTCTCTGTAGGAGACTTCTGAAAGAACTCTCTTGCCAGAGGCTCCTGCAAAATCCTGAAAATGACTCTAAAGAAGAGAGAGAGAGAGAACCAAAATTAATACAAATATTCCTGTGGTTTCTGTATCAATTGTTCCAGATTTCTCTGGATCTGCCCAGTTGTGGGTCAAGGTCAGTAGTCCCTTTTCTGAGGACAAGGAGCACACAAGAGAATCAGAAGTGAGGCTCAGAAGGAAGTTTCCAAAGACTCTTAACTAGAACCCTCTCTCAGTATTTTTATGCCAGAAAAGTGTGATTTGCAGGCATAATTCTTACCCTTTCTACTTGGATTGTGAGAATTTCATCCTTATTTTGGATGTCTTGCCTTTTCCTCTTTCTTCATTCCGTAGCAGAATGCATCTTTTTGTACAAGGTGTATCAGAAAACAGAAATATCTTTGCATAAAGGGAGAAATAATACCTATGTTAAGCTTCACTGAACAATTCTCATCACCTAATCTTTGGCCTAGAACAAAACAAGTCAGGACAAGGAATTTTATTACATCAAACGTCGAAGACAATGAAATATTTTTTTATGCTGTTGAATTCAGAGTGAAATTTGAACATTCTAGAACTGCTGGTGTAATGGAAAGCTCCATTTGATGTCCATCTCTACCCCTGTCCAGCTTGGCATCCTCTCAGAAACCAGCCAGGCAGGCAGCATGCAGACAGACTTGACAACAGACCTTCCCACTGACCACCTGTCTGACTGACTCATTTGCACCAAAGTTGTGGTTCTTTGGCTGCAAAACACCTTGATATTCCATGTTCCTTTCTTTTCAGCAGAAGCAATTCTTTTCATTTGTCTTTTTTCTAACCTGATATACAGGATAAATTGACTGCAACCAGCAGCAATCCTTACCCAACCTTTCATAAGGTGTGAGGTGGTAATAAGAAAATGAGAAAGACTATGGGCTAGCATGAAATGAACTGTCACTGTAACCAATTTCTTTGCAGCATCAGCATGACAACTTGCTCCACACTGCTTGCAATGGGAATGATGCCCCTTTGCCTCTTTATTTACACCAAGATGTGGACTGATTCTGATGCAATTGTACTCCCCTATGACAGCATCGGTGAGTCCAAGTGAACCAGCTGCCCATCTGACTGTCTATCCTCCCTCCAATAACAACTACCCCTATACCATTATCCTGCAGAGTCAGGAAGATATTGCATCAGATTTTTAAAAATATTCGTCTTCCTCTTTTCTACTAACCTTCATGTGAATTAGGTACCAGAAATCACTTCCTGTCATCCACAGCTCTGCAGAAGAAAGACTTGAAATCATCATAAATATTGTACAGATATTTATCACAAGATTGTGCATGTTTTTCTTTCCAAATGACTTTGAGACCTGTGTGATATTGGGATAAGAATATAGAATAATTCGTATAGGAATAGCTGCTTCTCCTGGATGAAAGTGTTTGTAACAGCTTTAAGACACAATCCTGCAAAGTGCTAAATGCTAAGGCCATAATCTGGAAAAATACTTAAGCACACATGGATAATTAAGCAAGTGATTAAAACTGCTGAGTCTCTTTGAAAAGCTGCAATCTACACTGCCAGGAGTGGCTTCATTTGACTCTCTGTCAAAAATCTCATCCAGCTACAAAGAGAAAATAGTTAAGGTATTTAGAAATACATGCTCCAGTGATTTGCAAAGCTGTGGCCCTAGTGCTTATCAAGTGCAGTTCCATGTTGTGCTAATCTTAAAAGCCAGCAGAATCACTTTCATATTCTTCAATTTCATTTCCCATTGTCCCTGGGGAAAAAAAAAATCACATACTTTGCTTGTGCTTTCAAAATAAATACTGGAGGGGGAAGGCCAAAACAAAAGAAGCTCTAAACCAGTTGTTGATATGGTACAGTAGCGAAACACCTGCAGACAAAATGAACAGTTAATATAGCTACTCACATCACAGGATAGTGATGATTAGCACACTCAAATTTCTGTTTGCCTTTCTGATGCAGGTGAATAAGCATGTAGCTCAGCAGAATGGCAATTACTTCAACAGGCTGCCAAAGATAACAGACTCTATAGAAAAGCAAATGGGCAGGTGCAGGTAGAGTGTGCATACGTGGTCTGGGGTCTGCATACCAGAAACGTCCTCTGAAGGTTTGCTTGCTCTGTAACCCCAGCCACTCTGCATGGTGTCTGTCCTGTGTATGAGCTTCTGCACCATACACGGGCTTAAGTACTCTTTTCTTTTTTACAGGAATTTCTCTGGTAGCTCTTGTAATTCCAGTTTCGATTGGAATGTTTGTTAACCACAAATGGCCTAGTAAAGCAAAAATCATACTTAAGGTAAGAGACGTATATAAGGCTGAAGCATAAGCAATTATGGACAAATTATGGAATCAGTGGCACCACTGAAGCAGTACTTTACTATTCATAGTATTAGTATCTGACTTCATAAGAGCCAGAAAGTTTTCAGCAGAAAACAAATGAGACATTGTGAAAATATATTGCTTTCCTCCTGCACAAACGTGCATGAGTTGCATACATTATTAGAAACCATCATTATCCAAAGAGCCTACTTTTGTCTTTGGCTATGTTAGTAATTGAGTATACAGTATATAACGTAAACTGAAATTGAAAGGAAAATCATTCAGGTCAATGGGAAGAAGTTTTTCTCTGCAAAACAATAACAAATAAAATCATTCTGGATCAAAAAAACTTTCTTCTTTTAAACCAGCATGTTGATTTTTTTGTGGTTCAATTTTGAGTGGGAAGCTGATATTTATTTAAAAAAAATAAATTGAGAATATTCCAACTCTTAAAAAAAAATTTATTCACAAAATACAGCTATCTTTGCAAGATGGTTTCAGATGCATCAAAAAACATAGGGGCTTTGGCAAATACTGTTCTCATCAAAATAATAATAATAATTTAGTTGTATTTAAGGTATAATGAATTAATCATTCTGAATGCTGGGTTTAGGTTTAAATAACTTTTCAGATGTGCTGAGGCCCCTTGGCCTGTTTAACCCTTCTTAGTTAACAGATATGTTATCTAAATTTTCTTAAAGAAAACTAGTCTCTCCGTTTGTTATTCTACCTATCTTTTGTTGTCATTTCTTTTCTATCAGTTCAGGCAGCATAGAACACAAATAACACCTTTTTTAGTCATTTCCTTTTCTTAAACTGCTGGCTTATCATATTGTATTTTTAAATGCACTTATTATGAACTTGGATACTATTGAGAGCTGATTTCAAAACTGTACTATTTCTGTTTAATCAGTTAAGGGAAAAACATGGACTTGCACTCACATGAAAAGAAACTTTACTTGACCTCTCGGCAAAGCACCATTTCATCCTCTTACTTACTGAGTGGGTGAGCAACCCATAGAATGGTCCATTGACAGTTTGCTTTATGCAGGACGATGAAGCACCAAGGGAAGATTGAACCATAGCTGTCAGATTAAGGCCCATATAGTGAGAAATTGAGATAAGAGCACAAAGACAATGTGCCAGGTGAAATAGAGGAGCTTGTCATGGACAGATCATGTTTCTTCTTCCTAGGTGCATGTGCTTAATAGCTCAGCCAAACAAAAACATTCATTCACTCAGTGTTCTTAAAAAGGCTTCAGTCAAAGACTGATGAAGCCAGTACAGTGGGAATGCATGTTTTAGTTGAGAAATAGATTCTCTAAACTTAGCCTGAGAAGTTTGGCACTGGGATCCCTGGCAACATATGCCATAATGGCAGATATTTCACTTGGGTATTGAAAAGAGAATGAGTTATGACTTTTTTTTGGCAAGCAGCAGTAAAGATATCAGTACACTAAGAAATGGGAAATAAGATCAACTTCAGTGATTAGGTCTATGTAGAAGTGCTATACAACCTCACAAACAGTTTTCAAGCATGAATTTTCAGCCACATTAAAAATTTACTCCTGTGCTTGATAAATAATTTCCTATCACTAACTAACAATCTAGTGTCTAGTTAGCACACACTGTAATAAGCTCCAGAGTGTGACTGGCCAAGGATGGAGAGGAATATATGTTGTTCTACCTATTAGGCTGTCAATTTCCCAACAAATCTGGGGAAATTTTTCAAATGTGTGCACCATTCCTCGTATACATCACACCTGTGAAATTATTTTTAATATCAAAGTACAATTATAGCCAAAGCTTCATAAAACTAGCTTCACAAAACTAGCTTTATCTGCTATAGATAAGTATTCTAACTGCACGTTGATCTATATCTGTAGTCACGCCTTGAAGGACGTCTTAGGTCTCCTGTTTGGGAAAAATGGCAGCTATCTAATCTCTCCTCCTGCTGTGAATTGCTTTGCTGTAAACGCTAGGGTTTGTGTTTAGTAAGATGTTTCAGCGACTCAGGGACACTCACAGGCATGTTTGACACCGTGTTTGTTGCCATTAAATTTCACTGGGGTATCTTATTCATACAGTCTTTCCTCTTTCCCTTCGCAGGTCGGTTCCATTGTGGGAGCAATCCTCATTGTGCTCATTGCTGTGGTTGGGGGAATACTCTACAAAGGCTCCTGGATTATCTCACCCAAATTATGGATTATTGGCACCATATTCCCAGCAGCTGGCTATTCTTTAGGATTCTTCTTGGCTCGCATAGCTGGTCTGTCTTGGCACAGGTATGGAATTCTCCATGACAAAAACCTGCAGGCTTTTTTCAGCTGTGTAAAAAGCTTTTATTTAATGATTAATCAATGGTAGGGATGTTCCTTAAACATTAATGTAACAGTCACTCATTCTCCAACCTTGTTTCTGGGATAGTATGTGCAGATAAAACTTTTCTTGTGCATGTTTAATACAGATTCTGATTACAACATATCCTCCAGTCCTTCATATGACTTCCCCTTGTGTGCCCCTTGTGTTACACTGCAAACAAGTGAAACAGACCTGACTTGTAAGTGGGTTAGGACTGCAGTAAAACTTCTCATGAAGATACAGCAGTCTACAATTTAGAACATCATTACAAGAAAGGGAGACAGTGAGTGAGTGCCCTGTATGTGGCTTGAAGGAGGATCACAGTCCTTTACAGCTGCTGAAATGTGTGATCTGGTGGTAACAGCGGTATGACTGTTTTGTTGACTGTGTGAGCTAAAAGATGCAATTTTCTTAGTTATCCATTACTGTATGTTTCTTGCTTATGCAGATTACTAAAAAGCATAAGGACCCACAGGCTGCTGTTTCACAACTGTCTCTATATTATTTTTTTTTTAGATGTCGTACAGTGTCTCTGGAAACAGGCATGCAAAATACTCAGCTATGTTCAACTATAGTACAGCTCTCATTCAGCCCTGAACAACTTGAACTGATGTTTACTTTCCCACTCATCTACAGCATTTTCCAGCTGTTGTTTGCGCTGCTAATTTTAGGAGGTATAGTTATATTTTATTATAGCACTATAATTACAATTATTTTTATTATCGGTTTAATTTTTCATGCATATGGAGAAAACAAGAGGGGATAAAAATAATCAAATGCAAAATACTTCAACAAATTATGATCCAAATGATTACTGTGCCCTGTACATAACCAGGAAGATACCAGGCTCAGTTTGAGATTTGAAAGACCCTTTTTTTAGCACAAGGATGGGGGTATCCACTATCTACAGCTGGGCATATGAGAACACTGAGCATGGGATTGTTATTACACTTGGCCAAGGAAGGCCAAATGCATCTTATTACACTGACCCAGGCTGTTTGGGCATACAACTGCCCAGCAGGGCCATCCCCACAACCATGAACAAATCCCCCCTCCTACTAGCTCTTGAGAGAACAGGCATCAGCTTCATCAATAATGTGAGAAAATATCTTCCAACGGAGGTGAAGTCCCTTTTTCCTCTCGCATACACCTCAATTTCACTGCTGCTCCTACAACTAACCTAACAAGGGTTGGAACCTTGTTGCTGTTACTCACACATAAAACCAACTGTTCCTGTCAAGTTCCCACTCCCAAACCAACCATTCTCTCTGTCAGGAAGTGGGTTGGGAACAGAGGAAACACTTTGTCCCAGCTCTGCCAAGCAAGACTCACTCAGTCCCTCAGGCCCAGCCAAGAGCTCAAAGGTTTCCCAAGGGAGACTGGCAGTACTTTTAAAAATCACTGCACAGTACAGGAGCACAAAGCAATCAAACACCAAATGCAGAATTTAAACCGTTAAAATCTCTAAATATAGTTTTCCAGGAATGAGTGACACAAAATAATTAAACATAACTTTAAAGAAACTGTTTGGATGGGTTGGAATATTTTAGCAGTATAAGGAAAGAAAATGTTGCGTGGCTATATGTGACTACAGTACCTTTTTCAGGCAATTTTTATAATTTCTATATTTAATACTAAATATATATTGATTCCCAGGGTACCGTCTTTACAGAAGACACCGTGTCAAACCAAAGACAGATGTCGAGAAAACAGAGCAAAAAGAGGATTCCACATCAAATGCTAAAATAAATGGTGGATTTGTATCAAATGAGACCAAATAGACACTTACCTCTGCTCCCATCAGCTGAAAAGATAAAAAATATGTGGTTTACTTAAAACTTTTTTTTCACATGCTGTTGGTTTATGGAAATATTTAACAAAAGAAGTTCTGCTGATATTTTACAGTAAGACTTCAAAATTATTAACTTAAGAAAGATTTCTACTTTGATTTTGAGCACGGTTCCTGCCACAATTGTAGAATCTGGTTTTGAAGCTAAGTCTCAAAAATATGTAATGTTTTTTTCTGATTTATTTAAAGAAAGGCAGAATAAAGGTGGGCTATTGCTAAAAAAACAACCAGATATCTGTAATACCAACTCCATCCCATAGTCCATCAAATGCCTCTGCTGATCTCAACTCTCATACTAAAGAAAGAGAAATCCTGTGAAAGTACCTGAGCAGCAACGGGAGTTGATGTGGAAGATCTGATAAGGCTGAATATGAATCAACCATGAAATTGGAACAAGCCAATAATGAAATAAAAGTTTCATTTAGGTCAGTGTGGGCAGACTAAAGTCATTGCACCGTATTAATTGCTTGAACATTAATTTATTCTAAAGTTATAATTTTAATAAGTACAAGGTACCTTATGGCTCTATTATTTTTTTCCAAAGTAATAGAAAGTAACAGCTTTTCATCTTCAGTCTGGGTCTTTTAGGTGCTGGAAACATGAAAAAAGAGACAAAGGTGAGTACATAAGCCTTGAGAACTTTTAGTGTGACAGCAGCATAAAAAAGGGAAAGTAGAGATTCTGGAAGAGTAAGAAATTGTCAGCTTTTGCACTAAAAGGAAGGCATTTGAAAATCAAGTAAAATTGTCGTTGGTTCATCCAGTACTGCTTTCAGCAATCTTGACACGAGACAACAGTGCTTGTAAAGAGCTATATATATTTGTTATTTTATGAACTCCATAAAATTGACCTTACCAGATGTCTGGGACATGTAGAGCCTGATGTAGTTGATTTCATTTATATGAGCCACCAATAGAAATAATTGGTTGTACAAATATATTATTTGTCTGTGAAATTTCAAGAGTACCTAGAGAAAGTTGTATTAAGTGTATGGAGAAAATTAGTATAATTCTAGAGAAACGGTGCAGTAAATTGCAGCTGTAATGTTTTACGAATACATTCAGTAACGTTAGTTCTGTAGCTCATATGTAAGGAAAGCATCCAGAGAACTTCATACAAGTGAGTGAGAGTTTGACCAAAAAATTCGAGAATGAGCCAACTATCAACACACAGAAAGTATCCACCTTTCTTTCATATTAAAGAGGACCTTCCTAGGTGTTGTGAGTTACTGTGGCAGGTTTTTTACAAATAAAACTGAAACTGTGGAGTTTAAGTTCCCAATGTGTAGTTTTCCACTGCTGCAGAAACGTGCCCAATATTAAACAAATAATAAATTATTGCTATCCAGCATCTGTGGGGGAATGTTCTTGAAATGGTCTTGAAATGTTCTGAGTTCTGGGAGGCCTGAAGCTGCTTTACTTTTGAGAGGGAGTTCCAAATGGTCATAACCTCCAAGGAGGAGTTCAACACTTGGTGGTATTTAGCACATAACGAGGCATGCTATGCTTTATAGAACAGAGATTAAACAGAACAACATGATGAAGACTGTTATGGAGGAATCATAAATGTGAAACAACATATTCATCAAGAAAAGGATAAGCTGCTATTTGTGACATCTGTACTAAAAAGCCCCTGGTGGTCTAGTGGTAAAGGCGCCGCGCTATCACCGCGGAGACCCGGGTTCGATTCCCGGTCAGGGCCACTCCCGGGCAGGTGGGGCTCGTTAGCCCTTAAAGGCAACCCACCTACGTCCTAAGGACCTCGCTGCCACCGTCCAAGCTTGCTTGGCCCCGGCAGATGAACCTTAGGATTAAAGGGTGGGCTCAGTTCCGCGCACACTGTGTCTCACCTAAAAAATCCAATGCGCAGGCTGGAAGGTGGAAAGACCTTCCCCGGATCTTCGCTCGCGAAGACTGGCCATTATTATTATATTACTAAAAAGCCTATTGTCTTGATCCTGCATTCATCAAAAAATGGGCAGCAGAAGTTAGTTAGGATCATGTCTTTCTTACACAGCAAGCTCCTATTATTCCCCCATGCTGAACTTCAATGTTTCTGTGAATATTTTAAGCAGATTTTGAAATGTATCGAAGAGTAATGGTTTGTCTTGCTTATACTATGCATGTGTGTGTATTTAATGCAACTGTATAAACATTGAACTGAATAAAGTCAGAAACTATTTATAATTTTGCCCACTGGAGTAATTTAAGGTGGAAAGAATTGAGACCAAAACCTAACACACAGGCAGAGTTTATAGCTTTGAGATGTAACAAAAACAGCTCAGGTTATGTGTGAAATGGATATGTTTAATAATCATAGAATCATAGAACAGTTTGGCTTGGAAGGGACCTTGGAAAGTCATCTAGTCCAACCTCTGTGCAATAAGCAGGAACATCTTCAACTAGATCAGGTTGCTCAGAGCCTCATCCAATATGGCCTTGAATGTTTCCAAGGATGGGGCATGTACCATCTCTTTGGGCAACATAATGAAGATTAAATGAACACAAGATGTCTGATGTCATATTTGATCCACATTTTCTAGTGTATATGTGCATTCAGGGCCTCAGATGAAGAATGGAGTCTGCAGTTTGTGCAGCCATTACAATTATAGCTATCAAGGATCGTATGTCCTAAGCTTTACATGAAGCAAAGTCAGCTCAAAGGTCTTACCCAACATATGCCTTTAGAGCACATCAAACCTAAAACAAAATCTCAGGGCTTGTTAATATTGTGAGAGACTGACTTATATTGATGTGACAACTTCTAAATCTCCAGCTGTAGTGTCATTTGTGAAGCTGTGGTGGGATATCTCACAGCAGTGTAAGGGACCATTGGGGAAGTTGTGTTCTCTCCCCAGAGGTCTCCAGAAAGATATATGTCTTTGGCTGTCAGTCCTGTAAATGCTGATATATGGGCTTCTCAGCTGAAGAAGTCTGGTGGTCTCCAGCCTTGCAGTTGCAGTTGTCCTGGTGTTGTCAAAAGGAAAACACTGGCCTTGTTTAACCTGCTCAGGGTCATCTCCTCACATTCTCTAGCATGAAAATCCTTTCAAAGACAGGTAGTATCACTTAGTTACCACTGCTCATTAAACAATCTTCTATCCATGGAAACAGCCTATGGATGGGACATTGCAGATTGTGAAATTTAAAAGCATGATGCAGTGATGTTCAGGCTAAAAAATGCCTGTTCTGATTAACTATTACACGTACTAGTAATCTTGAATTTATCACTTTAGACTAAGAAGTCATACAGTTGCCTTTGCAGTGCTGGTTCTCAAGCTGTTGCAGTCAAAATGAGCTGTAATATGCCTAAGGACAGACACACCCTAAAAGTTGAAATGACAGCTGAATTAAAGCCTAACTCATGCCAAGGTCTGTAGCATAAGGCCTACAAAGATACAACAGTCACACTTGCCAAGCTGATCTCTAGCCATAAATCTATATATAAAATGTATTCACTAGTCAGCAAAGAGAAGGAGACAGACCACCACAGAGTTAATCATATCTACTGTCTTAGAATTGCCTGTCTCTATAAAGTAAATTCAGAAGGCCTGTTTTAGATGAAATATATAAATTTTTAGTCTTAGACAGTAAAAAAAAAAAAAAAAGTTGAAATTAAATGCATCTTTTTGTCTTCATTTCTTTTCTGCATAGATTGGTTGAGCCCTCAGTTTGTTTCCTTTAACCAGGAAGATAGGCTTTAGAGTTGAGAAAATGAAAAGTATACAAAATAAAGTACAGTATGATTATTCTAATCTTCTATTATATAACTTGTAATAGAATTAATTTCTCATCTGACCTAAAGACAGATGGAAGAACTGTTTCTGCCATATAGTGTGCTATGTCAGTTGGAAGAGAGTGCAATTTGAATAGAATTAACAAGCAAATTGATTTGCAATTTACATTTAAAGAGTTTCTTGTTTCAAACTAATCAGGTTATGATGTTGAAAACCTACTGTTATTCTCTGCCAGTCAGTATCATTTTTGTCAGCCTCAGACATGAACTTATTTTTTGGTAGTCCAATCAATTAATATACTGTATAGTTGATGCAAATATAAAACAATAATCAGTATTCCCTAACTCCAAAGGAACAGACTTTCACTTCTTGGTATCTGACAAGAATCTGTTCTCCACAGATTAACTGTATTGCTTGCTCGCAACCAGAATTAAAGCAAATATAGTGTAACGGTCCCACAACTAAATAGCAATTAAGCAAACTTGACTGGATTTTCCAAGCCAGAACTGAAGGACAATAGAAGTAAATCTCTGCTTCTGTTTTCTAAGGAATATTCATTCTGCTCCAAAAGCATTAGCATCTCAGTTAAGCTGAACACTAAATTAACTTAAAAAGCCAAATGTAAAAATAACCGTAACTTGCCAGGATATCTCCCAGTTTTCGAACTGGAATTGGAGATTATGGAAAACTGAAAGTTCTGAAGGCATCCTACAGTGTTTTCATGAATAGACATGTACTGTGGAATGGTATTACCCTCTCCATTTATTATCCATTAAATTTAACCATCAACAAGTAAGTTTCTAGCATCAGCCTTCATGCTTCTTTGAAAAGAAGTAGTCAGTACTGTCAGCAGAAAAAGACAGATTTTGGTCTGGAGAGCAAGCCATTACACTCTTCAGACACCTGGTCAAGGACAGGAAGAATTCTGGAAGAAGAGAAAGACATTGTAAAAAAAAAAAAATAAATAAATAAAGTTCCCAGAGGACATTCAAAACTATGTCTATACAAACAAAGAGCGCACAAAAAAGTATTTGTGATATCTCTATTTCCTCATAATAGACTTAATATAAAATTAATCAATTCCCAATTTCTCTTCAAAGATCATAAATCAGCCTCCTACTTCAGATTAGGACTGATTTAGGAAAATGTGAGACTTTGGAAGTACTAAATTGAAATAAAGTTCATCATCTTTTGGATTTCAGTTATATGTAGATTGAGCCATGATAACTGGACTTTTGCCTTTCCAATAACCCAACAACTAAGAAATCCTTTGCAATCACAGCAACTACTTTAAAACTTCAAAGAAAGTGAAAAGAAAACTCAACACTGGAGAAAACTCTTACTGACTGCAAGATGGAGTTGATCAGTTCCTTTAAGTAGTTTATTCTCTGGTCTCCATATATCTAGGATAAAGTTATAAAAAGGAACAATTTCTGTTCCAGGCAAACAGAATCTAATTGTTTTTCCTTTGAGCACACAAAGCTCACGCACAATTCCTCATTCACTGCCACTGTTCCTGACCATGAGAAATATTAGCATCTTACACAAATGTAACAGTACTTCATATCTCATAGATATAACTTAATTGCTTCAGATGTACTGATTAGGTCTGCTGATCAGGTATCATTAAGGTAATCTGATACATTCTTTTATGTGACTATATAATGACTGCAGACCTTCTGTCTCCTTCTTCTGCAATGATTTTATGTATTACTCATTTGGGAGATTTCATTACAGTTTTTAAAAGACACTTTCCCCCATATGAATTCAAAATAGAAGCAAGGAGGTCATATTGAGATGGTAAGGCCCTGTTTAAGTAATTTGATGGTACAATTAATTCCTCACAAGTGGAATTAACTACGGGGGATTAATGAAAATGTCAGGGTTACAGGTTGTGCTGGTGATGTGTTTCTAATGTCAGTAGTAAATCTGCTGTAGGTAGAACACAAATTCTTTCCACGTAAGGCTCTTTCTTTAAAAATATACCCTGAACTCATAAAATAAACCACAGCTGATATGGAAGAATTTTCCATAAAAATTTCCATAAGAATTTTCCATAAAAGTGCACCTACTGAGGAAATAGAACAAAACATACAGCTTACTTAGAAGAACACATATTCCAGTTTTAAGATATCCGATGTTTGTTTAAAAAAATTATACAATTAATGCACAATATCTAAAAAATTGTCTTAAGAAAAAAGTGGAAAAAAATGATTTGTGGACATCAACTAGCAATTTAATATGATACTCAAGGTAAAACTCAGATAGTCCTTTAATAGTTGTTTGCTGGAAGCTGCCCATATCTCTTACACAGTTTCTTTAAGCACCTGCTTGTGTCATTGCCAAGCTAACTGGAGCTCTGAGGTTCTTATATGTTTATGCAGTCCTTTTCAGTAAGCATTAAATCCAAGGAAAAACACAAGCTGCTTTCAAATATTTTGCCTATTGGAGGGGAAATGACATATGAGTGGAAGGACAGAACTGTCTGTACTGAAATGAACAATGTGGTCATAAATAGGAGAAAATTCAGAGAAAATTATTTTATGAAGACATACCTAGCTGTCTACAGAAGGAACAGTCACTACATCAGTTACTTTCTGTTTATTCTGTACCACTTCACCCATTCTGTTCTGTTTTTCAGAATTCTTCCACAGAAACAATTTCATACGCAAATAAAAACCTCCCATAGTCAGAAAACATAAAACAGCTGGACCGTTCACAACATAAAAATCACATAGGGTTTTTTGGGTCATCACTGTAATATGGTCAGACTAGTCTGTAACTCAAAGAGAGCATATGCTCCTCGAGTACTTTACAGTCACCCAGAAACACCACAGCACTACTAAATGTGCAGGGTGTTCAGCCGCATGATTTGAGAATTGAGGAGCCAGGAATGGCTGAGAGAGCAAGCCGGATTCAGTCAGTGGTGCCCAGAGAGCAACATTTCCCTCCTTGTTCTCCAGCCATCTAGACTGCACCAGCTGCTTTAGTACCACCCATGATGGCAGAGCAGAAGGATGAGGCAGTCCCACTCTCTGTGCTTACTGTTCCCCACTTGGTTACTTCCAGACAAGAGCCAGACAACAAGCCAGCACTCAGACTTGTGTGGACAAGAGAATAGAGTGGGCTCAGGCACAAGTCCAAGCTAAGATGACAGCAAGTTTATTCTACCCATTTG